CTGTTAGTTAAAGTGGTTTAATTAGAAAAACTCAGTGAATCTCACAGACAGCCTACGCGCACAGCGACGCGTTCATACAGCAGTCTCTCAGGAGGAGAGTTTGTCACTCACACAGAGTTGGACAGATCTGTTCAATAACAACTTTCTGAACATATATTTAATATAAAGTTAGGTTTTACAGACCAAAGTCTCTGGTAGTTCAGGAGCAAAGCGCAGGACGAGAGGAGAAGCCAGGATTGATCGCGTCGCTGCAGCAGCTCGAGTCGAGCCGGCCCGCTGCTTCAACTAAACTTGCTCTCACTAAAAGTCCCGCCCTGCTCTGCTCTGATTGGATAAAATGGCTCTGGACTTYGTCTGATTTGTTGAAGGYAGTGTCCATTTAAACCTTATATCAGGGTCCCGCTGTGGCGCACCGAATGATCCATTCACACCAGTGCTGCTGGATTCTTTTTATTCTTTTCTTTTCTTTTTTTTAAGAAATCAGGTTGCCTTTGCGACCAAACTGATCGCACTCTAGAGCCCTGCTAGCTGTTGTTTTGACAGACAATCAGGTACAAGCTTAGGTACGCAAGGGAGCTTTATGACGWCCCATCTGGTGCACTTTTTCCTTTTTTGAGAGCGCAAGCGCACCTGCTCACTGCTTATGTGCAACTCTGACTATTATGTCATTTGTAAATAAAGTTTCTGTRCAGCTATATAGTTGTAAACCCCTCTATCAAAATAGATTGAACAGGTCTAGAAGCTGGGCGTGACTGGTGGCAGTGTTGATGTGTGAAGCGCTTCRTTGGGATTTAAAGAGACAGTCTCAAAACGAGTTGATCTGAGACACACCTCAGAAAAGGGGTGAAAGACGGGCTTGTATAGTTACAATAGGGAGGAATTCAGACCAAAGCATTGCAGTTTCATTTTACACAGATGCCAAATGAAGAATTTAAATGTGAAAAAGAAGSATTTAAAAGCACGACATGTCTCCTTTAATAGTACAGCATCAYCTCATCTGTCTGAACTTTAACATGTCACACCCCAGCCAATATAACAAYATCCAAAAATCATGTTCCTTTTTAACATTCCCCAGATCGTCCTGAAAAACAGAGATGAGACTCTTTCCAGYGGTGAACCCAAATCTGTGCAGTTTAAAATGATCAGTGGTCTGAGCTGCTCGGACCACTGATCACTTAAAACTGCTGTTTCAAACCCATTTGTTTTTCTTGGCTTCTAGTCTTGGTTGAGTGAGACATCTTGACTTTTTGTTGCAGAAAAATTGGAGCAAAAGCCAATGCAAGAAATGTGTGTGTAGGTGGTGGAATCTCTCGGGATGAAGGAGCAAAAATAACCAGGTGAGACCCAAAAATAGAGACAATGTAACACTGATCTACTGATCTCACCAAGCCAAACTGAAGAGATAACTGGACTGAGCTGATGTCACTCCCTAAAGTTTTAGGGTGTGAGGTTTTAAATGAATTTCTAACTTCATCTCGTCAGTCCCTACAGTGCATGTCAAGAAACGATATATTAGTTTCAGTGAAGTAAGTGCACTGTGGRTCCCAGGAGGAAAAGTGTTTACTGGTCAAAGGTTGAGGGAACAGGCCATGACTTGGCTGTCGTTTTAATCTGACAGCTTGAATGTAGCTGAGAACTCAGATCTGCTGGCTGGACTAATGTGGAGATGGAAAATAATTCATCATTTATAGAACAAAATGCTGAGGTTGGCACTGCCTGGGGCTCTGAGCTCATGTTTAGGATGGTTAGTTTATATTAAGTGTATCAGAATATAGACTCTGCCAACTCACTGCCTCTCAGTTTTGGTAGAAAACAGGCAGGCTGTGTATAGACAACAAGCACAGACAAAAGAAGATCAAGTGTTATGAGAAATAYGACTAAATGTAAACATAAGTGATGACGCTTTTTAGGTTAAAGCACAGAGCAGAAAGAGGAGTGCTCACAAAGCAGAGCATTTAATGCAGACAAAGTTGCACAATAATCCGAGTTGTTTTGAACAGTCCGCAGCATCATGGGACTTGAGCAAACAGCTCAAACACTCAAGGCTCTGCCAGAAAACTGACTTTTATAAGCTAGAAAAGCAAAGCTGTAGGGCCATGTAACCATTAAAGAAATACGACCCTCTCTCTTATCAGTGTCACTATTTTTATAACCTCAAATGTAATTAGGACTATTTGYTAGGATTTGTTGAGGTGGATACATTGGCAGGCTTTTTATCACCAAGCTTAAGTAGTTTTGGCAACATTGCCTTATTTTTTATTTAGTTTCACAAATTCCGCTCATTTTAAGAACATATATTTCATTTTGCACAAACACATGATGGAATAATACATGACAAAACCACCTTAGAATCACATTCTTCATCTATGATGACATCTGGCTCGCTCAGAAAATCTTTCATCCAAAATATCCTTGAAAACACCGAGGTCATTGCAACTCGCTGCTTAAATGAGATGTGGTTTTCATTGGGCCGATATGCCAGATTGCCACTCAGCGAGTGTGTGAGCGAGAGTGAGGTAAGAGCACAGATTAACCATGGCCGATGATTAATACAACTTGACTTACTGACTTACTGCGAGCAATTATGGCCATGTCTTTTCTCAAGCCTGACTTTCTCACACTCGTGGGACACATGGAGGAGCTGGAACATGTGCACACAGAGCGCACACACACGCCACAGATCACCAGCCCACCCTCCACTCAACCTCGAAACCACAAAGGGTTAAATATAATCAATCTTCTTTAACAATGCTGTCAGGGAACTGTCTGAGAACGCTGAAAGGGAACACACTGACAACTGCTGCGCACTGATGAAGGTGTGTGTGTGTGTGTGTGTGTGTGTGTGTGTGTGTGCACTGAATTTGAACGTTCCACTCATTGTGAATGGATTTCTGTGAGGACGCCAATCAACGCATGTAGAAGTGCATCCGAGAACACACACACGTGATACGAATGTGTGTGTTTTAGCTGCTGTTCATCTAATAACACACGTTAAAACAAAAACATGAATATGATCACAATTACTAAATGGTTTATAAAACATTTTTGCTTAAACCCCAGAAATACAGCTTCTGATGCAATTTGTAACTTTCTGACCTGCAATTCTTCCACAAATATGATCATTTCAAGTATTTTATTTCCAACATAATTCTTTACACTGATTCCATTTTATAATTTTGGTATTTTGTGAGACTTATTGTTCAGTCTGTATTGTTTGTCTGTTATATACATCACGATCATCATCTGCATTAAATGCTCTGCATCACTCAGACCTAGAAACAAAGTTTCAATTCACTGTAATTATAATGTAGCAGAAATGATAATAAAACATTTCAACTGGACTTTTAATAGTTTTTTAGTTTTATCTGTAAGCTCTTGTGTAAGCATGCAAAGTTAAACTGAAAACTGTATTACTATCCAACTATTTTTAGAACTAACTACGTATTAATAAGGCATTACAGTTCTTTTAAGTTTAATATGTATGGATGTCCTGAAACAATGTGTGAACATTTCTCAGTGTGTGTGTTTTCTCTGAAAACCAACCAAAACCACAGAGCTGAGAGGTTAACCTCTGGGCTTTGCATGTGAATGTGTGTGTGTGTGTGTGTGTGTGTGTGTGTGTGTGTGTGCTACCTGAGCTGACTTGTGAGATCTCCAGCTGTACTGGTGGCTGTGGAGACTAGCCAGCAGCACATTCTCATCTGTGTCCACTTGGCCGAAGCGCAGAATCTCATTCGTGTCGTTACAGATCACGTAGTGGCTGTAGAGCAGCTCCTCTGCCTCCAGATTTCTGTTCTGAGAAAACAGAATCAAATAAAAGAAGATTTTAGTAGAAGATGTGGAACATATGAGTGCATGTATGAAGGGGATGATGTAGGAAGGGAGAACAGGATTAAAATCATGAGGTCTGGTGTGTTTTACGGAGCAGATATTTAGCACAACRTCTTCACGTGTTCAGGTGTTAACGACTTGTCCTGTCGGTCCGGTCAAGTGGTTTGAGAATGACAACATACACTATTGTCATCAGGGTTAGAGATCATTTCATGACAGCTTCTCTGTTTGTTTCAACTGCAGGAAAACAAGGCACACACACTCCTGTTATTAACAGCCATCTACACAAGGAGAAGGCAAGCTTTCAGGATCCAGCCCTGTTGGGACTTTGGTTCAATAAAATCCTTACAAAAAGCTCCACTGCTTAAACAGAACTTCTCACGCATCATCTTGCATGCAAGAAAGGAGAGCTCAGTGGCTCGCTTATGAAAACTGAGCTTTAACAGGACAAAAGAAGTGTGTGTCAAATCTCCAGCATAAAAAAACAAAAACAAAAAATAAATCAGGAAGATCATTTTAAAACAGCTCATAGTGTGCCTGCTTGTGGGACAGTGTTAGTATAGTTTTATATGAGCTCGTTCCAAAGACAGTCTGGTGAGATTTTGTCCAYGCTTGACTCTTTAAAGAAACAAACATATCTAAGACATTGACTCAATAATTTCACAGCTATGCCAACAAAAGGACCTCATTYTGTTTCTAACTAGCAGGGGTTGTATTTGTTAAGAGGCTGGCAGTAAAATCTCAGACTCTGACTGCCAAGCACGTTCCAGGAGTCCTGGGGATGTTGCAGTGATTGGAAACGGACGGGAAAGTTTACACCATTAAAAGAACGTGTGATAATAGACTCCAGTAAATGAGAGACTTAGAGGGTAAAACATAGATGGGACAGGTGCAGCAGTGGGTTAAAATGCATTGTGGGTTTTATTGTGGAACACAATCTATGCTCCTTTTCAAACATGACACTGCAATTTACAAACTTCCTGCTGCCATCTTAAGATGGGATCGTCTTTCTCCTCTGATTCATGAGGCAACGTGATACACAGCAGAAAAGCTGCTTCCTATAATGATTATTATTCATATGTACCCAGGGAGTTTAAAAGGGCAAATAATATCACAAAGAATTTCAAATAATTAACTCATAAATCTTCGTAAAGAGGACTAAATGACAACTTCTTCAGACAGTGTCTTAAGTCGGCACCATTTCTCTAATCCAGCCAGATACAATTACTTAAGTCCTCACAGACTCTAATCCATCTGCATGGTCCACTTATAAATGTAGAATAAAATGTCTGGAGAACAGATTGTAAAGAAAGACACCAACTGAAGAGAAATCCACATGAAACGAGACACTGTGGAGGTTACAGTAAAACAGACTGGAACACCACTCAGACCTACAGGCATCAGTCTTCCAAACATCTGTTACAACCAGGAACTTTACTTCAGTATTCATTTGCTTTTCCTGTTGCAAAAGCAAAGCAGAGAGTGATTCGATTATCTGAAGAACAAAGTAAAGAAATCTAAACTCTGTTGCCTTTGTTGCAATGTAAGTGTTCTGTGAAAGAGCCCAATGTCTAAATACTACTGGGCTTTTGTGTGGCATCCCACCAAAGCCACTTCCCTCAGGTTAGAAACTGAGACAGAGAACGACACCGGGCACTGAGAGTTTAAAAAGGAGATCTGGAGCCTGAGGTTAGAGTTGTGGGGGGCTGAGGTTTGGGCCATAAGGGGCTATTGTGTGCAAAAAGAAGAGGGGATGATATAAACTGCCTGACTTCATCTGTAATAATTTGTACATGTTCCTCTGATCAAAAGACCTCAAAGACTTGAAAACCTTAGTTTTACACTATTTGCTGTTTAATGTAAAAAGTGAGGATTTGACTGAAGGTCTGATCTACCATGAAGCACAGCAGGAGAGGTGAAGAGAAGGAAGTTTAGTCTTTTTTTCTTCTTCAGGATATGCTTTTATTATGTCACATCACTGACACAWTTAGACGTGTGTAACTGCTGGAAAATAATAGGAAGTGAAGTCAGGCTGGAAACGAGCTGTATATTAGGATTATTATTGTGAAACGATGCCATGCAGGGCATACATTCCAATCCATGAAAAGTGTTTTATTTTGATTAATTTCAACCCATCTGGAAGTGTTACATCTCCTCTGGGTGGGGTGGTCTGTTATGACTGTGCCTGGCTCGTGAGGTTGCAGAAGAACTGTATTTGAGGAGCCTGTTTTGTTTCAGCTCTGACCCTGTAGGCCACCTCACAACAGGCCTGCCTGTAGGCCTTGACACAAGGAAACAGGAGAATCGCTAAAATAAAATCACATGTCCTTTTGAAAGACAGAGCTTGTTACGGTTTCTGACTACTACTTGATGTATTTTCAACTAATATCACATTTCATGAATAACAATGAGTGCACTTGTTAACTTTTAAAAAGGTCAAACTGAAACTTTTTATTTCTAACACTAGGGCTCATCAGATAACAGCTTGTTTAACTGCAACCATTCAAGGTTTTTTTAATCATAKAAAATATTATATTTTAGATAAAATTCAACTTCCAAAAGGTTCACTTTCAATTTTTTCTAAAACAAGCAAAAAATAACTTGTTTGTCTTTAATTTTCATCCTATCAAAACATAAAGCATGTTGACTTTATATTATCAGTGTTTTCAGCTTTTGTTCAGTCGRGTGAAGCTGGAAATAGAAACCATTGCACAAGTTACTGCAGATATTTAGACCAATCAAAGACAATAAGTTGGCCTAATTATTTTACAGTTTAACTGTCCTGTTGCAAAGCAAAAGGGGGACTTGGAAATTCCCTCTGTTAGAGCCTCAGTCCTGTGAGCTGGATAACTTGTGAGGTACTGAYTTCCATTTAGGTGTTTGGCTGCATCTAGATCTAAGAAAGCTCCCTATCAAAAACTGGGGTGCCATGTCCAAATCCTAATAAATAAACAAACTTAGCACAAAAAAATAAGGAAATGTGTGTTATGTAGATTACTACTTATCTGTTGTTACAATGCTTCTTGGCCATAAATCTTATACCAGGCACCTGCAGGTACCAGAGGCTCAAAACAAGAGTCAATAATAACAGCAGAATAATCAGACAGAAAATTTGTCAATTATTTTCTTGTGCATAATCCACATACTCAGCTCTACTGCTCATCTGACAAATACATGTTCCTTATAAATGTGACACCGTTTTAAAGGAGATTTAACAGGCTTTCCAATGATATAAGCTTTATTACCAAGAAACGTTACAACAAAGAAATAATCTACCAAACACTAATTTCCTTACTTTCTGTGCTAGTAATATGTAAACCTTGTRAGCTGAATAACTTGAAAACTAAGTAATGTGCTGACCTCCATTTTGTTGTGTTGGTGCATCTAGGCGTAAGAAAGGTAACGGTGAGAAAGTGGGTGGCCACGCCAAAATCATTCACACATTTAAACCAGCCAGCCTGATCATTTGAGGAAAATGCTTTCTAGTTTTTATATTGCTTCAAAGTTCAGTTTCCTCAAGTGAYTGGGTTGGCTGAGGATTAATCTATGATGGAAAAGCCACCATTTGCCAAACCTTGGCTTCCCTATTGCACCTGGTGGAGGATTAATCTGCTCCTTCCACTCTGCAAGCCTTGGAACAGCAAAAATAAATAAAAAAAAAATAAAATAAAAATAAATAAAAAATTAAAAAAAATAAATCATAATAATAAAATAAATGAAACCTGTCCTTTGTTCTTGTACCTATACCTACCTATACTATTTGAATATTTTGCACCATAAATATTAAGCTTYACTTACAGTCCAGAGCATCAAAAACAGTTGATATTTAAACCCCTCAGCGACAGGTAACATCAGCGTACAGCTTGTTTATGTGTGAGTTTGAGAAGAAACTTGAGGGATTGTGTTTGACTGAGAGCCTTAAAAGTCAGCGTTTGCACAGGGTACGGTTGTGTTTGTGGCWTTAAGAAACAAATTGTGTGTGTTTTTGTTTGCCAGAGCAACAGTTTGACTTGGAAACCCCATACAGGGGGAAAGGTTAAAAGAAACRCAGCAATTGCCAGTTTTATTATTGAAAACCTTGTTGTGATGAAGCCTGACAATCACAGCAACAATAAAATTAAATTAGAATAAGAAGGAAAAAAAGGGTAATTTAAACTTATTCTTTTTTATTTATTTTTCAGTGTGTTTTATTTAATCTGACCTAAAAAGGGAAATATATCTGATGAAGTAAAAAGGAGGTTACCTGAGGACAATTACTAACATAAGTAATTTTGTTTTGTATGTTGGGAAAAGCCCACCATGGATACCAACATACCCAAACACTATAATAAAACTTTAATATGATCTTTTATTTAAACATCACTCAGACAATAAAATCTTATTTATGACAACAATAACCAGCCCAAATAGGGAACACTGAGTGGACAGAGTTTGGATTACCCCACTAACAAAATATGAATCATCTCAGAGTSTTTTAAACTGCAGCGATGCCACTGAGTGTAAAAAAAAACTGCTAGCCAAAACAATCATTTGATAGTGTATTTTTATACAGCTTGTTTAATTTTATTTTCAACAGGTTAAAGACCACAGCTGTTTCTAGAAAAATATCAGCTTTTATTTTTTTTCACCTGGAAGAGAGTTTCTGCACGCAAGTAAAATCATGAGAGCCTCAAGTTTCCAGAGGCCAGTATGTGAGTCAGCACAGCTGAGCTAAGTAAAGTTATGATAGGACAAACAAAGCTGGGAGAGCTCTGTGTGTGTGTGTGTGTGTGTGTGTG